ACACCATTGAGACTGAGAGACAGAGAGGGGTTACCGGAGCACACCACACCAGCATCTTCTCCATGATTGCAGTTATGGGACCTGCAGTTATGGGATTGCAGACTGAGCCCTGCACTCAGAGAGGGCAGCTTCATGCCCTGAGCAATTCACATCGTCCAGCCAGATGGGGTCAGGCCCTTGCCCAAAATGAACCGAACCTGGGGCTGACAGCGCTGCCCCACAGCAGACCTGCCTGCACACCACGCTGGCTTCAGCTCTATCCCAGCCGTCACCACACACAGTTCCCCACCGCATCTCATGAAACACCTCGATTCTGCCAGCGCAATGATTCGGGCCGTTCACAAGCCGGACGGGAGCTGGTTCCGCAACACCTGGACCGAAACACAATTGCAAAGTGTTGGAGGAGCTTTGCATGCCTCAGAGCTCTGTGGAGTGAGCAAAAACCCCTCCTCACAGGGGTCTGGAAGCCAACAGGGCTTGGGTCCATGACATGTAAAGTAGCACTAGGTCTCTGGCCTCACAGCTTGATCCTACATCCTGGACTGGAGCTTTTGCAGTAAATCAATCACCTGCATAGTGATCATAGTTGAGCACCCAGGTTACTTCCCTAACAGCAGAGCACCGAAACAGGGAGGAGGGAACAGCACGCTGGTGGAAACAGTGCATTTCACAGCACTCTACAAATTCCTACAAATACAGGCCGTCCTTGTACCCCAAATTTCATGCCATGCTTTAGTGGTACCTGAGCACTCCACACCAGCATCTTCTCCATGGTTACAGTTGTGGTCCCCCCAAGGCTTGGCCCGACACTCGGTGAGGACAGTTTCAGCTCCTGCACAGTTCACGTCATCCAGCCAAATTTGGCCAGTTCTTTGTCCAAACCGAGCAGAGCCAGGGGCTGAGACCGCTGTCCCACAGCCCAGCTGCCTGCACACCACTTGAGCATCGGTCAAATCCCAGCTGTTGTCGCAGACAGTTCCCCACTTCTGCTCATGAAACACCTCGAGTCTCCCAGAGCAGTTGCTCGAACCATTCTCCAGCTGGACTGGAAGCAGCTCAGCAAATCCTGTGTTGAAAAATAATGAAGACCTCAGTCCTCTGTTGTATTTTGGTCTGTGCTGACAGGGTAGAGCACCGTGCTGCTCACTCCTGGATTGCTTCAGTCTGGCATAGACAGACATTGCTTGTTTTTTCATATCAGCTTAGCAGACTTCTGCAGCAGTATCAGTCCCTTGGAGTGGTAGTCTCCAGCTGACCTCTCTTGTTGATTAGTCCCTACTAAAATCAGCCAGGTCTATTTGAACCTTTATCTCACCAGAAGATGACAGTTACACCTGCAGCCTGTTATTGTGGTGGCCCAGACTATGGGGAGTAGCAGTGGGCTGGCCAGCTGAGCTGGGAAGGGACAGGGACCTGTGGACTAACAGTGGTCCAGGAGCACTGGGTTGCCTTATGGTCTAGGCTGTGTTAAGGACTCTTAGGATCTGGGATCAGCAATTTCTGTAAGGTAGAAAGAGTTGATTGAAGATTGCCAATATCAGATGCTGAAGTTTTCTAGCTCTGGTGTTGGTGAACATCAGGTATCTGGTGCTGGGATCTATGAGACAAGCCAGACAAACCTCACTGGACGTGCCTATTGCCTTCACAGATGTGAAGTAAATGCACACTGTTAGATTTAACATCTGCGGTCTGAGATATATACCTCCTCCTCAGAGTATGCAACCGCTGATGGGAACTGCTCAGGACTGGCTGCGCAGAGCACTGACCTGGAAGAACTACAGGCGTCCCTGACAGACGTATTTTTGTGAAGCTGTGTGAAAGAGGAACAAAAGAAAGAAGAATGGTAGTATCTGAGACCCAGAGCTGACATCTGTGGATGGCCTGCGCAGTAGCTGACTTGACTTAATCAGCAAGAAGATCCATCCTACTCCACACAGTCTCCTCTGTTGCACTATAAGAAGTGCAAAATTACTGTGTTGAAGAGTAGCTGAGCTGAGAAAACACCCCAAAATGAGTGTTTTCTCTGTCTGCTGTAGCAAACTGGCCTCCAGAAGCGATCCATGAAAAAGACTTAAATGAGGAAAGGGAGATCAGAATTGTCTATAGCTTTAGACACACCTTTTTCCAAAGCACTTTTGAAGCACTCTGTGTACTGTCTTTGGAAGACCTATTTGTGCTGAAGGACAGGTCCGTCAGGATCTGTCTGAAAGCATCACCCAGAAACAGCTTGCCATGAGTGATGGGTACCTGTACAAACCACGCCAGCATCTTCTCCATGCCCGCAGTTATGGCTTCCCCAAGGAGTGGCTCTGCACTGGCCGAGAGCAGCTTCTGTCCCTGTGCATTGACATCGACAAACCAAATGGGGCCAGATCCTTGCCCAAAGTAAGCCCCATGGGTAGCAAACAAGGCCTTCCCACAGCCCAGCTGCCTGCACACCACTTCTGCCGCGACCAAGTCCCAGCCGTCATCACACACACTTCCCCAGTGCTGGCCATAAAACACCTCGACTCTCCCAGAGCAGTGGGTCAATCCATCCGCTAATCGAAGCAGGGCAGGTTCTGCAAAGCCTACAGGGGAAAAAAGGGGAAAAATTCAGGAAAGTATTTGATGCAAAGTCTGGTGTATCTGTTCTCCACCTGGCAATGAACGTAGCATCTCTCAGTTTTGCATGGGAAAACATTGCATAAAGAAGCAACTCAAGCACTTCCTTCACCATCACAGTGTTAGCTGCTCAGCAACAGATTTTGCAAACTAAAACATACTTGGGATGGCAGAAGGCAAGCCCCAGTGTTGCTTAAATGTGGCTGTCCAGTGCTTTTAAGATGCTCTAGCCTCTATCTGCCATTGCAAGGGGTTTCAGTTATGCTGTGTGTCATCCTGCCAGCCCCTTATAGATGTCTCAGGTACCTTAACAGACACCAGAAGGGTCTAGATACCACTGGCCATGTGCATGGGGAGCCCTACAAGTCATTCCTACAGCACCATTGTCTTTTACCAGTGGCTCATGTGGTGATGGATTTTGCTTAAGAAGAGGCAAGACCACTTTAGGGCTCAACGGTATGAATCACTTTTTCTTACAGTTCTCTTAGGTGTTGGGGTCAGCACTGCTCCAAAGGGAACAGGGCCTCCTACAGCACCTCCAGCATCTCGCCACACCCCACAAAACCCACTCATGCAATGCAGAGTGGGATTTACCTGAGCACACAACACCAGCATCTTCTCCGTGCACACAGTTATGGCTTCTCCAAGGTTTTGCACTGCATTCGGAGAGGGCAGCTTCAGTTCCTTTGCAGGTCACATCATCAAGCCAAATGGGGTCAGGCCCTCCCCCAAAGTAAGCTGAAGAAGGAGCAGATAGATCGGTCCCGCAGCTCAGCTGCCAGCATACAACTTCAGCATCAATTATATCCCAGTTGTCATCACAAACAGTTCCCCATTGCTGGCGATAAAGCACCTCCACTCTCCCAGCACAGCGACTTGAACCGTTCACTAATTGCAGCTTAACTGTTTTTTTAATTTCTGCATTAAAAAAAGGAAAAAACAACAAAAATAGGATCAGGGATTGCACATGGAAAGATTGCCTAGAGATCAAAGGCAAGGAAAGATCAGACAAGACCTGGACTTGACAAGGTAAAGGCTGATGAGGATCAAGTTCTGTATCTTCCTCTGTGGTTTCAGAGCTCAGAATTAGAGAGACAAATAGCATAGATTGGGAATCCCTTATGAAACAGGACTGTGCAATTCCCACTGTGATGTTACTCCAGGGGTGGGGACTACAGATCAAGACATCCACATTTCTTATAGACCTGTTGGTGTCTTCATGTGAGACAGATGTCGAAATTCTAGTTAGTCAATGACATCTGTGGTGCTGCTTAGCTGGTCAAATATTGGCATTTGATTCAATTGCCCAAATAAGCGTTCAGCAGCATTTGCGATGCCATAGGTATTCTCCCTCAAGGTCTCCTTTAGGGCCTGTATCTCATCTGCCAGGTTGTGTCAGACGCGCCAGGGCATCTCTAATTGCACTTGGGAACTCTACATAGGGAACTGACTCCAGCTGAGATTTCATTGCTTGCAACAGGAAGACACCCAGCCCTAGTGGTGACACCTGCATTTAGAGATATATATGTCTGGATCTTCATATGGACCTGAATCCCATTCCAGCTCCAACTAGGGGGATGTACATTTGGAAATTTGCTTCATTGTTCAGTGCTGAGAGGAGCGGAGTTTGGGAAATACTGACCTGAAAGATGGCAATGGGCAGCCTGACAACCTCCCCATCCCCTTTCCACCTCCTGGAGACCATGGCCCACTTGATTAAGCTTTTATCCCCAATTAATCATGTAGAGGGGTAGGGTACACCTTCAAGCCTTCCCCACCCAGTTCCTGGAGCTCAGCATTCATTAGCATCATGCTGTGACATCCAAGTTAGGACTGTTTTTATTTTCTTGCACTCTCACTGTAGTGCACCGCGAAGGTTAATAGGTAACCTTTAGAAGTAAAAGGTTTAGTTTTATGGTCAGGATTGCCGTGGTCCAAAGGTATCCGCACCCTTCTGAGCATCGTGCAGATTTCTTTTAGGAGCAGCTGCGTTTCTGGAAATCTGGGGTGGTGTTATTGAAAAGCAGGTTTGTGTTTCTCTCTGTCGAATCAATGGTTTATTTGGTTGCTTCTCCAGAGAAGAGCTTTGAATGTTTTCTTAGCCCTCTCTTTCCTGCAGGCTTTGTGTTGTGTTTGTGCACACAACGTGCGCTCGCAGCCCAGACCAACCATGTCCTGGGCTGCCCCCAAAGCCGCGTGGCCAGCAGGGCGAGGGAGGGGGTTCTGCCCCTCTGCCCCGCTCTGGGCAGACCCCCCTGCAGTGCTGCGTCCAGCTCTGGAGCCCTCGGTACAGGAGAGACACGGACCTGCTGGAGCGGGGCCAGAGGAGGCCCCAGCAACGCTGCGAGGGCTGGAACAGCTCTGCTGGGAGGACAGGCTGGGAGAGCTGGGGGGGCT